GGTGGTCATTTTTGCATGACATGAGCAATTTACACGTCATAGTGTGGAGAAAGGGTTCAGGTGAAAACAGGTTAGTGTTTAAGGTTGAGTTAGACACTCCACACGTGCAAATTCAGGTTATCATCGCTTTACGCAGCAGATGCGTTCCAAAACAATTGCGCACAAAGTGAACACCTATAGCAGAGACTGTCACCTACCCACAATGCACCGGGCGAGACAGCTGTCTACCAAGCAGTGCGTACAGAATACAAAATGTTGTCCCACGTCTGACCGCATAGCCACATACGAGTGAATTCAAATCGCATCGAGTGAAATGTGTAGAATTAGGTGAGCCACATATACGCAAAAGCGCACAAACCGAACCCGCATAAAGTGAGCGAAACCTGTACATGAGAGGCAGAATTACGTCTCATAAAATACATAATTCTTCACGTTTCCATTTTCATCATCATCATCATCCACAGTCAATCCACTGCTGGATGAAGGCTTCCTCAAGCTGCCACCAAACTCGGCTGCCGCTATTATTATTAAACGTCCATCTCCCATCATCGATCTCTTCCAGTAACCGGTACTGCCCAGACCCACTTACTTTTCTTAACTTTTTGATGTCATTAACCTGGGTGTGTTCTCTAATCCATGTGCTCCTCTTGCTGTCTCTTCATGTATCTGTAAATATCTTTTGTTGCACTCTGTTTTTTTTATTATACCTGAATGGACTGATAATGAATATTTACAGCCATGGTAAAGATAAGTAAAATCCATGAATGTTAAGCTATACTCAACAACATAGATCCACTCAGTGTGGTAAAGTATCTTGCAACAGCACTGACCACGAAACGAAAGCTGGTAAAGTTATCTTGATTCAGGACAAAATGTCACGTCAGCTCAAGACAAGTGGTCTCAATGGAGTTAAAAGTAAAAGCAAATACAAGAATTAGCAAATTAAGGTCCATCTGCCTGGGTTAAAGCAGTCGGGGTTTGCGACTTTGGGAAACACATCGATATTCGGCAAGCCGCGTCCACCTGCCACAGCATGCACGATCCAGAAGCATTGTGAGCCACGTCTCGTGTAACTGCGGCGCATTAGCAGTGGAGGTCACCGGAGATTTATGGACATAAAATGTTACAGCATTTACTCCCACGTTATTGTATAAAAAAACACGCACATCAAGTTTAACAAGCAGAAACTCAATATGTTCTGCAAAATTGGCGGCGTGTCTTTGGGCAGAAGGGAGGCCAACTTTCCCCGCGACCGTAAATGAAAACACTAGAGGAAATGTTATTTTAAGGTTCTTAATAGATTTGAAGTGTACCCTATGTAATACAATGTGGACTTTGGACGTGAAGAAGGTGCCGAAACTATTTTTTTTATATTACAAAAACACATCTGGGATAATACCCAAACTTTAATAAGATAACTTACCCTAACATAACCTCCACTAATCAGGTCACACACTTTTTACACATGATGCAGTCTAATTGTTGCCATCACTGGACATTATATGAAGCGGGCTTGACGTGTATCCTGCCCTTATGTTGCTCCAACTTATTTTCAAAACTTGTTCCATAACAAAGGACTGTTTATTTATATTTTACCACTACAGTACTTACGTAACCAGCGATAGCGCGTTAAGTCAATGCCTTAATGATAGAATGCTTGCGTGTGGTTCACATGACATTAGATTATAACCCATAGACTCCTAAATGACATCGACTGCAGGCTACAGTATTTAGTAACAGACAGCAGTGGGGAGTGTGGGGAGGGGTAAATTTGACGGTACGATGACACGCACGAGAAAGCCCCCACCCCGTCGGACTCGGCACACGTCTGAAATCCGAAGAGTAAAATCAATTGATTTCAGCCTTTGATTGACGTAGACCACGTGGGAACACACACACACACGACACCGCCACTGACAAGACTCTATCAATCACAAGCGGCTGTGAAATGTCTGCATCTTATATGAGAAGCGATTTTGAAGAATGGATCTGTTTATTTTTTATCGCTCGGCTTTCATGCCAAATGCGCACAACAATGTGCATCATCCACAATGGGTTCAAGTATGAACATGCCTTTCTCGGGATTAAATTTGTCCGTACCAACCAGATGGGGCTCTCCAGGGCTGAGTTCCAGAAAATGTGTCCCCCCTCCCAATCCTCCCAGCTGTCCATGGGGGGAGGGGAGGAAAGGAAAAATATTCCTGAAGAAATAAAGCCCTGGCAGCTAGTACCAACACTATAACCTTCAAAGTGTAGGTCAAATCAAACACCCTATGTTACACAATCTCGCTCCCATTCTCTAGAAATATATTTGTACGGATATTTTGTTGTTGTTTTCCCGTAGATGGCAAGTTTCGTATAATAACAATTTCCGACAGCAAATAATTATTTAATTCGTAGTTGAGTTGTATTCACTGACATACAATCTGATGACGAAATGCTATTATAACTTAGGAGGTAGAGATGTATATGCCATCGCATGACATCACATACTACGATAAAAAGTAATTTTACCTGTGAATTGTGTGGGGGGCTGCAATATCCTAATCTTCACCAGTAGGGGGAGTGTGTACATACGCAGAGCAAGCTGGTTTAAAACCACGTCTGTTATCACTAGAGTGCTGTGAACGCTTCCCATTAAAATCGCCACTACACTTACGTGTCAGTGTACACACGTGCGTTATATGCCGCATTGAACTAATCTAGTACCGAATTACCATGTGAAAGAGATTGTAAGAAGAGGTGATTTTAAGAAGAATAAAATATGCCCAACATGTAAACACATTTACATACCCGAAAGTCTATACAATGAAAATAGGCAGGTTTCCTTTTCAACATTAAGCTGTCTCAAAAGCAAACATCAACATTATTACATACTTCCAGCTATAAAACGGTGTCAAGAACCCATCGCGATACCATTTCGTGCAATATTATTTAAAAATTGTTCGCTGCTAAATTGAGAGCTCGCATTTTAAAGTACTTTACAGCTAATCCTACAAAGGAATATCTGCATTTCTAAAATTCTAAAAACTATGTTTAAAATTGTTAAACATCTTTCAAATATCTATTGTTAAACACCAATCATTTTAGTAAAGTAATTTTGTTTGTTTTATCTTATACGTAAGCTTTCACGACCAATATGATTCGTTATTCGTTTCTGTTGGGTTAGATCATCTAGGTATAGCGTCATTTGCTTTTTACTATAAACCTCCACATGAGACCTCAAATGTTGTTAACAGCCGACGGCAATCTCCAGCGAAACATCGGACCAAAAGTGTCAACACTTTGCTTTCTTTGCAACATTCTTGCGGTTTTCTGAAAAAAATGAAATTACAAATGTTCCCACCACGTGACAACTCGATTTGATCGGCGCGGTGGAGTGGTGAAGGTTATAGTTAAGGAAAAAATACATTACACCTACACGATCTGACCCAAAAGAAAGTGATTATTAATAAAAACCAGTTTATATTACCTTTTTGCATCAAAAATACCATTGCTGTATTAATTTATAGATGCCGAAAAATGGGTATGCATTCTTTTTATAGCGGTAATCTAGTTTTAAGCCGATTCCGTTTAACAAATATCAATCATTGCCATAAACAATTAAGAACGCACTGTAGCCAATATGTGACGGCTCCGAACATCATACATTTAATTATTATTGTTGTGAATTCAGCCGTGATTAATATGTATCATACATTTCAATTAACACTTATTACAATTTTGCTTTGAAATGTCTTTTAATTGAATTAAGTCGAAAGCGTCAGGAAGTATAATAATATATTATTTTTTTCATTTACATTTAAACTAAATTATATGAACATGATCAGCATGCCGGAAAGGCAGCATAGCATATACCATGGACTTTAGAGGCAATGTCAAATTCCATAGATATAAGTACACAAATATTGTATACGCACACCATATTGCCAGGACACCATATCTCTTACATACCAGATGACCTGTGTTCAAAGATGTTTGGAATAATAGAAGGTATTTCTAAGTTTATTTTTATTCCTGAGGGATAATCAAATAATCCCGTTGTAGATATGGATGGGGAAGGCCTTGATACTGCAGTTGATTGACGAAGCGTCGCAAATAACTATGATTATTTATAGCCGACGGTACGTTGTTATCCTTAAGAGGTTTTTGGGTTAAATCGATGAAATATAAATGTGTCGTTAAACTCGCTACCACCTGACACAGTCATTAGTAAGGTTTGTCGTGTAAACAGAACATGTAAATTCGTTACTAGTACGGCACACTGATATGTTGGAGAGTGAACCCACAACATTTACAACTCCGAGTACGACGTTTCGTCAGTAATTACAACTAGCATCATCAGGCAACAGCCAACTCTGGCCGTCAATTCTGGCTGTCGCCTGATGCTAGTTGTAATTATTGGCGAAACGTCGTGCTCGAATTGTAAATGTTGTGGGTTTACTCTCCAACACACCGGTGTGCCATACGAGTAAATAATTGGCATGTTTTGTTTACGTGACAAACCTTACTGTAATTGGCTTTGCCGGGTGGTGGCGGCTTTAACGACGCATTTATATTTACACGATCTAACCCAACACAGGCCTCTATTATGGATATTGGTCGCAAAAGCCTACGTGTTAAAAAGGAACATTCTTATCAGACCACCACCAATGATCTGATTACACTGGAATCTTCAAAAGTAGTTAGTTATTTTATGGGGAGACATGCTCTCAAAATGTAAATGTGCAACTCCCACTGCTGGCTCAGGTTATTCTTGTTCGAGCAGGGATATGCGTCATCTTATGCCTACAAAAAAAGTAACTACCCAAAAAAAACACGTGACCCACCGCAGTTTGGTCCAAAGTCAGAGCTACACTATTGTACAGGAAGTAATAATTGGAAAGCACCTACAGTTTAGTTGTGCTTTGGTATAACGTCACCTGTAATCACTTAAGAAACTGCGCGTAAAAAATGTACATGTTACTAAACATGTACATTTTTGCTTTTTGAATCGAGTAAACAAAAACATGTTCATACTATTGCATCTCTGCACCTCTTCCGAAAACAACGCTGAAAGAAATGGCACTCTTGAGATAAATGTGCCGCGTGTAAATGCGCGCGGTGTTATTACTGCTGTGAGACTGTTAAATTATTATCATTAACGGCGTTGTGACTCGTGGGAACCTAACTTGGCCACAGTGGCACTTATGAAATAATGCCTCTTGTTATTTATTCACAATACATCTACACGACCGTACCTGCACTGTGCAGAGGTTTATATGATGTGCAATGCCTAATTGAAGTTGATAGGTTCATAAAGCTATTGGAAACCACATGCTGCCTTGTCAGTAAAAAATGGCATGCTGTACATTGTTGAGAAGTCAAAGATAATATATGTTTTAATAAAACTGGAACCTCTTTTTAAATTTGTAATTTATAGGCGCTTTTGAAAAATGGACGCGTATTGAATTCTGCTCGCAGCAATTCAATTTGGGGTATTAAATGCATTGCAATCTTTAGCTTATTTATCTTTGTCTTGGCATTGTTACAAGTGTTATACGTAACGCATAACTATCTCCTCGGCTGATTGAATGCTGTTGCACTGCAAGACCACAGCAACGATAGGGGATGGAGCATTTACTTGTGAAGTGCGATTGGTCAGACTGTTCTGCGTGAGCATATATAGACGCAGACCTTGGGCTAAACCAACTTAAACATGGGTGAATCGCACAAAACACAATCGTAAAGGTGTCAATATGGTCCATAACCAAATATTTTTGTTACGTAGCATTCAAAAGGTGGGATTTTTTTAACCTTCATTTCACGGGGCTGCTATTAAAATAAGCATGCTGATTTAACCAATCAACTTATGTGACAGCGATCTATAAATGTATTGTAAAAAATGTGACAATTATTGGTGTTTAACAAACGTCTGTGCATGATGCGTCCTCTTGTAAAAATTACAGAGCCTATATTTGCTAGTTTTTGAAAAAGAGTTGCTGCTTTTGTATATAATGTCGGTACTACATTGTGCTATGTGGAATGCATCTGAATTACGAATTGAGTTCATTGCTAAACTGTTATAATCAGTAAGTATACATATTTTTTCTTAAAATTTTTGTTCAACATCTTTAACATGTATTATATTAATGTTATTTTATATAATAAACAAAACATCCCTTTCATTCCCACAAGCAAGCAAGCTATTTTGTTAAATATATAATTCCAGTGTGGAATCATAACACGTAGCAAACTTGCTAATAACATTAACTATCCAGGCAGATGAAGCAGTACAAATGATACATTCTAATCGCAAATACAAGTGACTGCCGAGTCCATAAAAAAATAAAAGTAACAATAATTAGAAAGAGCTTTCGCAACTTTTTTAAGCGGCCTGCCACAAACCGTTGAGACTTCCACCGGCATCCCACCACTCACAACACAGCGCACGCGCAAACGAGACCTCACATAGCTCTCTCGTGACAGGCAGCAGCAGCTCAATCAAGAGGTCCATTCAAAACAGCTTCACGGGCCCCCAAAATATTACCTAAAGTGAACGCGCACGTGCACACGCACGCACGCGCAGGTGCATGCAAGCACGGGTGCAAGTGGGACGCTATTCGTTACCACCGCAAGACGTAATCAGAGTTTTCCACTTGTAATCAGATGAGTATATGTCATCAGGCATGACTGTAATTTACGTCGGCGTGTAATATGATTACATGTAATGACATTTGAAGGTGACGACGACTTCAGCTCATTCCCCAGTTTTGATAGCTGTAGCGCTTTCCATGGAACTGTGAAATTTCTGCCAATGCCTTAAGCGTGACATTTTATTGGATAGTCTGTTAATATTTGTATTTAGCACTGCCCACAAATTTCCGTGGAATACACATCCAGGGTTAAGGGTGGGTGGGATATCTTACGTCAGCGCGACGCAAGAACTCAGCCAGCAAAACTTTTTTTTCAAATACGGTATGATACTTTAATTATTACTATTAGAAATTATTATTCATGATTACCCTAAATTTACCCTCTGGTGCTAAATTAGTTCCTTTGGGCAAGCGTTTCCAATCGTGGGGAGCGGGTGTGGGGACATGGCCTCATCTCCGAGGGACTTTAGATTAAATATTCCAAACCCCTTCATTGCGAGTGGGGGACGAATTTCAGCACTGAGAGACACTTCTTGTGAAGACTCCAGCAGCCATAGCACAAGCATCCCAACCCGACCACAATCATCGTAGCCCAACCTCGGTTAACTAGGCTTGTTTCAATGTACGCCACTGACGACAACGGTGCTGGGTCGGGGCTCTAGTTGGGTCGGGGCTCTAGTTGGGGCAGGCAAAAATCCGCTTCGGATTTTTCAGTCTCAGGTGACACACAGCCAGGCGACTTCACCGATAATAATAATGCACAGGCCACCTGTGACGATGCAACTTTGTGGGACACGCGTTAAACTGCACGAGCTGCAGGTTGAGAAAGCGTCATCATCGTCATCGTCGTCGTCACAATACTGATGCTCCTTGAGCAAGCCACACGCATTAACCCAAAAAACCCACGGTGGATTACGAAGCCTCCTCAACCTGGAGCCATGAGCCATGCGACGGTGATGAGCGACGTCACTCGAATAGCCAAAACCATCGCAAGCGGTGGGTCACAGTCACCAACTAACAACAGCCGGACAGACAACGGGGTGGTGGTGGTGGGGGGGGGGTGCCGCCACTGCCTTAGGCCAGGTGGTTGTTGGGAGTCGCTGGGGCAGCTGCTGTGGGCCCATTGAGGGGGTTGAGCGGGTTGACGGGCGAGGTGGTGGTGGAGCTCTCCTCGCCGTCGGGGCCGGGCTCGGCGCGATCCTTGCGGTCGGTGTACTGGCCGATGAAGGAGCCGTCCTCGTTGAATTGTCCCTCGCCGCCGTCTCCGTACTCCACCAGGCTGTCGGCGCTACCGCCCCGGCGAATCGAGCCGTTTGGGGATGGGCGCCCGCCCTTGCCGCCGCCGCCGTCTGGAACTTTCTCGTCCTCACTGTGGACGTGGGTGGAGCCATGGCGAGGGTGGGTGGGGGTTGGTGGGTAAGGGGAGGATGGGTGGCATGGATGCACGGATGGTCACGCATACGCACACGCACGGGGTGAAGGTGCAGATGGGTGTAGATGCGTGAACGTGCACACGCGCTCGTACGCACAAAGCAAAAGGGACACTCTCGTATACGCACACACGTACACGCAGAGAGGTGAACTCACATATGGACTCGCACACGCGCACATACGCAAAGGCACAAACTCGCACGTGCTTGTACAAACGTGTACATACACGCAAAGTCACGAACCCATACACACGTGGACAGACCAGAAGAATGTACATGCACAAACTCATACACACCTGGACACTCGCACACATACGCAGCACATACGGGCAAATGGATAAACTCATACACACATGTACATCCAAAGACAACACACACAAACACGTTTTCACCCAGACAGACCATCGGGCAGTGTTACTCGCGTCGTACACAAATAACTAAGACAATCGGGCATGATGTATACACAGCGGACAATGAGAGCATGCTCCTAAGACTACCGCACGAACACCACAATGATAACACATCAAAACACGAGGACGAACGCATAACACAAGAGCGTGCAGCGATATAATGTTTCAATGTATCACTGTACAATTTTTAAAAATCGGTTATTTTGTATTATTATTAGGCTTGTTGAGCCTCACTGAGTCTCAAGACTATTTTTCAATGAGGGTCCCGTCAACGTTTTCTCAGTAGGGGGCGGTGTTGCTGCTTGTATTCCTGATGCCAAGCGAGTGATTCGCAGGTAATGTTTCACCATTGTATTATTATTTTGCCAATAAACAGCTACGTTGCGTTGTTTTTTGTTCAGCTGTTGGAGGAAACCCATGCGGAAACATTTTGACAGAGTGCAATCAAAGAGAGCGTTTCTCATCATTGCCATCATCATCATCTATGAGCTCTCATCAGCTGCTCTTGTTGTTATGCGAGCGATGTGGCCAATTGCATGATCTACCCACTATGACAAACAATGCTGGCACAGCACCGACAACGATAGCACACACAGCACTGCTGGACTGAGGGTTTGCACACGCAATTCTGGCTTTTGTGACCTACCTTCCCAGCGACCTATGCACGTGAGAGAGAGATGTGCATGGGGACAGCCAAGAAAAGAGCATTAGGCTGGTTAAAAGTTGAACAGAGTGCAACGTAGAAAGCAAGCAAAGCGCTGGTAGCAAGATCCAAGCACTTTCATGGTTAATAGAAACGGAAAATGAAATGTCTCAGTCGCTGATAAATAGAATGAAAAAAAACCCCGTATTCTATTAAGTTTAATTAATCTGCAAATGCAAATCTTGAAATTAAAACAGAAACAAGTTTCAATCAACATGACCGTGCCTTGTTTTCTTTTATCATTGTCCTTATTTTTCCGTTATAAATGCAGGAAAGCGTCAATGAGCTTCACGGTTGTTTTTCAAGAGGTCCTTGATCAGCATTATGGGTCAATTTCTTACGAACAATGTTTGAAAGGAAGCCGGCGTGGCTGGCCAAAACTCACACATGCACACGCAAGGGGATAACTCAATAACATAATGCTCAATGAGGAGATGACGATGATCACGAATATGATGAAGAAGTGCATGTATGTTTGTACATTTTCACGTGTATACTTGAGTATGTACGGGTGTGTGTGTACATGTGTTGGTGGTGCCGTGCCATGGATAGCGCACTGCGCTGTGAGCCCGGCGATTCCACTTTAGCTTGGATTTTTAGGGCCCGTGAAGCTGTTTTGAATGGACCTCTTGATTGAGCTGTTGCTGCCTGTCACGAGAGAGCTGTGTGAGGTCTCGTTTGCGCGTGCGCCTTGTTGTGAGTGGTGGGATGCCAATGGAAGTCTCAACGGGTTGTGGCAGACCACTTAAACAGTTACGAAAGCGCTTTTCAAACAGGTTCTGGACCTTCCCTAGATCGACTCAGCCTTCAATGAGTACCTGGTGCGGTGTATAAACATCGCCACTAAGGAGACAAAGGCGACCGGGCATGGTGTTGGCCACCCATCCACTAGTGTGCCGTGCTGGCCTACACAGGTGTCCAAAAACAGCACCTGCCACAACAGTCTGTTGAAGGTTATGCAGGGGTTATGTGTGTGAATGTGTATACTTTAGCATGTAGGCATGAGTGTGTGAGTGAGTGCATTCACACCTGTACGTGTCTTCCTTCATCGGCTGCGCTTCGGGATCAGGATGAGCATCCTCCTTCTCTTTAACTGAGAAATAAATCAACAAATTAAGGATTAATGATCATCTGAAGCCCCTTGGGAATCCTCTCCACGCGATGCCCTATACTTCACCACGCTGAAGGCAGGGCATAAGATAATTTAAGATGGCACTCGTCACCGATGTTAGCTATGGGAATCGAGCTCAGGTACCTAACCAATTTTGCCACTGCTTCCCCCCTCCCCCACAAACATAGAAATAACAATACCACAATTGCTGTATTCCTATAACTAGCGATCACTCTATTATCATGACAATGATGACGGGGTGGAGCGGTGACACAGTGGCCAGCACACTGCGACAGGAACACGGGGATCTTTTTCAGACCATGGCCTAACTACCAGCAGCGAGTGATATCTTCAGCAGCCCACACTGACCTACATGGTGGTGGTGGTGTACAGTCAACGAATCGTGAACGACATGGCAGGGCGGGCGGTCCTTCACCCAGCAGTGGATTGACAAAGGGGCTGTGATAGGATGATGTCGGTAGTTTTGATGGTGTACATCAGCGGTTCCCAACCTCTAAATATTTCTTGGACCACCGCATGCTAATAGTTATTTGAAATTCCTTGGTGAGGATGTTATTATTTTTCTTCTTTTCCGCAGACCCCCCCTGTAGTAGCATCACGCACTGCCAGGGGCCTGCGGATCACAGGTTGCGAACCGCTGGTGTACGTACGTACGTACATTTAATTTATTTCGTACCGTACGTAGCCAACCATGCTAATAGGAGGTGCGGGGGAAGGAAAACAAAGCAAACACAAAAAAGCAGTTCTAAAGAAATTAGTTTTCAATATAGAGTCCATAGCTCCAGTAGCTTTCTAATATCGGAAGAGCATTCCAGATGGCCACAGAAAGCGAGTGATGCAGCGACCGTCTTTTTTCAATGGCTAGCCAAAAGTCACTGCGAGGATGACCGGAGTTTGTGTGATAGTTTATGCTCCTTGACGAGATCAGCAAGGTATTGTGATTCATTTGTGGCATGCACTTTGTGTGTAAGGAGTGCGACCTTATAATAATAATGACGGCGATGTAGAAACTCTTACCGGGATACTTCCCTCCCCGGTTGCGTCGTACGAAACAGATGATGAGGATGATGAGCACGAGCAGGACAATAGCGCACATGAGCCCGATGAACCAGCCCTGCGTGGGTATGTTTACTTGCTGGCTGGGTTCAGCTGTCAAAGACAACCACACAAGACATGAGCACAGAGCGATATAAAGACAAAGATCCCCCGCAGAGCCTTAACAGACTGCTGGGGAAAGTCCTGTTAGCGAGCACCTATGAAGGCGCAAAGACACAAACGGGGGGTAGGTGGCCATCACCATGCCTGGCTGCCTTTGTCTCCCTAGTGACGATGTTATTGATTGTCACCTTCAAACCTCATATATGGTAGACTTGAACTCTGATGCGATTTTGGGTTGTACGTTTTTGCTCCACGTTCTCGGAGCTTCTTCAGGTACTGAATGTAGGCTCCCACCACGTGGAGTGAAACGTCACACAATGTGTTCAACAACACGTGGTATAAATCCTAACATTAAGCTTAATAATGTTGTTATCGAACAACCCATCAGAGAGCTATATAATATAATCATGAAAAACCTACGGAGTATGATTTATTTAATTAAAACACAAATCTGACCACATTAACTATTAACATTTCCTGATAACAGAAAATATTTGAGTTATATTTTGAGCAATGACCTGTCTTCAAAAGAGAGATCAGCAAGATATTATTTTTTTAAACCCCCAAATGTATAAAAATTATGCTTTCGACATCATTCGGAAGGCAGAGGAAGATCATCACCCCGTGTTCGAGAATATTCTGCAGAAACTGATACCACAACGACTTTTAAGATCACTGAAAGTGACCTCGTAGATACGCTATGGATGCTATACATTTGCACATCCCCTGCTGTAGGGATGTTTGTAAAGTGGCAATTAAACATAAATGTAATGTTACATTTTTGAAGAGTGGGATTTTGCCCGAATTATGTTTGATTTTTGTCGTCACGAAATGATTGGTGAATGAGCTGATACCATCAAATTGTTCTACTCAAAAATCTATTAACTATTTTTCTTAGCAAGTAAGGCCCACTGAGCTGTATAGCTCTTTTTCAGAAGCTACCTGGCCACAAATGATAGCTCACTGAAGTGGCTTATCGCGTGTAAATTTAAAGCAGCCAAATCATCTAAACGCACGTTGATTCTAAATGTGGAGAAAAAAAACCGGGAGGACCCGGAGATAAATTCAAGCGACCACGGAGAGAACATTCCAAATATACAGGTGCCAGGGTCGGGATCAAACCCACGACCTCCATACTAGGCGAGGGAGATGACCACTCACCACTGTAGCACCTGGTTTAATAGCGGGTGGCTTACACCTACACCCCAAGTCGGGCTCTCAGCAATGCTGGCTAAGTGCTCAAACACACGTCAGCTGCCCACATCTGAGGGAGTTTAAATTTGTAATTTAACAGTGTTCAAGGGTCCTTATATATGTACATAGCCAACTGTCCTATTTGTTCAGTGATCAATATAAACATCTCGTGCAACTTCACGAGATAATAATAATACATTCGTGTGAAAAGAGATACACTTTTCAGCGAGGTTTAGTTGTATACGAATCAAAATGAAATTTCGGCGTAATTTAATTAGCCAAGGAATTCTGAAGTCATTTGCATTGAAGTTATTTATTTAAGAGGATTTTTTTGTAAAATAACAATTCAAGATATAATTTCAGATGTATTTTTTTTCGAGTAGAACCAACTGGGATTGTAAAACAAGACGGCGAATGGCAACCGTGTTCTATCAGCAGCTTGGTTTTCACCAACAGAGGGCAGTGGCACACAGACATTTACACGATCCACAGGCACAGAGGGAGGCACATCACCCATTCCGAACAGCCACAGGACTGCAGTTGCCAGAATGTAATGGCAAAAATATAAACCAAGGTGCTTGCATTACAATGTTGTACTTTAAACTGTTAATTGATTTCAAATAAATGCACACGCAAACATACATTAACCTCTGTGGATAGAAAACCATAAGCATTTTGGTTACTCCATGAAGTCAATAACAATGGTGTTAACAGCATGCGTAGTCTACATGCACCCATTTGAGCAATGACCTTTGCACCATCATGATCATTATTGGTCACAAGCCACCGTTGTAAATTGTACGTTCCTATGGCCCGAGCCAGTCTTTTGAGTGGACAAACACTCCATTACTGTATCACCGAGTGGTACTACTACACCAGATTGTGTTGATATTACGAAGCCCAGATAGATGATGGGCTGGTCAGAATCAGTACAGTCCTGTACGTATGTAAGAGGACAGAGACGTAATTTTGATATGGTTTTGATGGTCTATGGGACACTGAAACTTGATGATCAAAAAGGTCGACATAAGGGTGTTATAACAAGCAGTCCAAGTGTCTATCTGCTCAACCCAACATTCTTCTTCAGTGGCAGTCCGGAGCCAGTGAGGAAAATTCCACACTCTTATGAAAAAAATATGCGTGTCGACATCAAATATCCATATTTAGATTCTCATAAAGTGATAACCTGATTTATAAATACTAAAGGGATGATGACAACGGCAATGATTATAAAGGAAAAAAAAATTGGGTTAAAACGAAAACATTTTCAAATAAAAACCCAACCAATTTGTCAATAACCCCGTGGCCTTAATAAACAAAAACTAGCCGACATCTTAGCCAATGGCCCTGCTTCATAGCACATAAATGGAGAAAACCATTCCCCCGAAACATTGCCTATTATGATTATTTTTCCTTTTAAGGCCGTGCACTGTTATTGATGAATGTGTTGAGCTTTTATGTTATTTGTGCCCGTGCATCATCACTGCTAACGCAGCAGCGTCACCAGAATCGTTTACTTTCAAACCGCGGTTCATCTTCAATTCCACTCTCACGTTCAAACATGCAAAAGGGGCAGCGAAATTCATTTTGAGAGAAAACGACTCAAACCTCTGCTTCGGACGAACAAAAGTACGGAACGACGACATTGGTGTGCGGTGCGTTTTGTCTTTTGCGTGAAACATTCGAACAGCCTGACCGCGGCGCTCTCACCTCGGGCCTCAAAGACCACGGCCTCGCTGAAGCTAACGCTGGCCTGCAACGCCGACGCCAAGCGCATTTTGTAGGCCGTGCCGGCCTCTAGGCCCTGCACCACAATGTAACTCTGCGACGTGTTAACGGAAGGGGTGCGCAGACTCTTCTCCCAGCCCTCGACACCTCGGGGAGGACGGCGGAGCCACGGGGTTTGTGAGCGCAGGGGGACAAGGCACGGGTACGCGGAGGGGATCGTGCGCGCACACGGCCACGAACAGAAGCCACACATGGGAATGCACGCGCAGGAAATGCACGCACCAGGCACACGATCCATGCGCGGGGACGTGCGTGCACACGCATTAAATCCACACACACACACACACATGCGCGCACGCACATTCGCCCCAAAAGCAAGGATTCAAATAATAACGCACGCACACAGATTTTTTTTTCCGCACAGACACACGGGCAAAGATGCGCGCAGGCATTCACAATGATGCACGCACAGGTGTCCGAGGGAGTGCGTGCAGTCATGCGCACGGATTTGTGTGGACGTACACGCAGGAATACACCCCACAGGCATGCACGTAAATTCACGCACAGGCGTGCATGCATGCAAATTCACGTATGGAAAACACCCGTCAGCGCACACACGGGGACAATGCACATACGTGTATTGGTACGTGCAATTTAAGCATGGTTATGCAAGGGTACAAGGGTGCGGTGGACCCATATGTGCGAGCACATACGGGTATATAGCGCACGCACACGCACACACAGACACACGCGCAGGTATGGTGGACGTACCCATAGACACACGGACACACACACGGAGGGGTGTGGACGGGGCAGAGGAAGGCAAAAGAGAGAAAGTGAACAGAGCAGAGTTAAAGTGAATGCATGGCAAACATTTCATCGTTACATTAATAATGTTCAAGACGCAACTGAACACAGAAAAGTAGGAAAATGAAAATATGACAGGGAAAAACGCACTGAAGGGTTGTAAGCAATGTCAAGTGACATTTTCAGAACTACACGTGATTTGTTACTCATGCAATGCAAATTAACGTAGGTCTGAACAGGTTAGGGTATAGTGTGCTTTTCCACAATATATAGCTTATTAACAAAGCAGATTTTTTACACTAACTCTATTCAGTGTGCATGCATGCACGTGTGTGTGTGTATGCAAGTTCCACATATATATCCTGCCGATTGCAGCATTACTAGTGAACCCTATGTCAGAGTGCACAATAAGCATAGTTTTAGAGGTCAGAGCCAGTTTCCATCGAGTCAGCAGTTCTATTCTAATGACTACCTCCAATAATTTCTGCAGCCAATTAACAAAGTGTTCTTTCTGCCTTGCAGCTTACATCAGAGGGTAGGAAAAAATCCGTCTGATGTCAGCTGCAATCTCGTACCACTGTGTGATGGCATCATAGCTTCAATCACAAAAATGAAATAAATCTCATGAGGGTGACTATAATTCGTCAGAACAGACTTCCACAGTCCCCCTTGTAAAGGGATAACGAATCTCACTAAGCTCTGACCTGGTGAAATAAAGAAGATAATGGGAACAATCATACAGATTATTGGATTCACACTTTCACTATATATTAAAAACTACGGTCATGATTATTGTATGTCCCTCCAAAACAGTATTTTATATGTCTTTGGTTAAAAAACAAGCAATTTGTTTGAAATCAGCAGAAATGTTGACCACGTAGCAGCAACATATGAATGAGGTCAAATATCTTATTTTAGAGACTGATTTAAACCAAGTTTAATTATGTAATTGTCATTACCACTGAGATAAAGAGGAGGATAAGATATTTAATTCTGCTATGCAGTTTAGTTAGAAATACTTTACAACAATACGTTTATTAAAATGGCCCTGTAACCGAAAAAAATAATTAGTTAAAGTGTCCAGCAATGGGTGTTCTCTGCTGTCAAGGGCCACTCCCTTTAATATAAACCAATTTCTACAAATAAAATTTGATGTGTCACTTTTTGCCCCAGCGAGCAAAGGTAATCCTGAACCAGTGGTGGAAATTCTCCATTCCTTATCGAATGCCAGGGACCACTCACTTGAAGCTTCTCACAAAGATATATTTATATATGTCAGAAGGGGGGTGATGGGCTGAAGTGACAAGCCCTGACTGGGATGCACACACACATTGCTTATTAACGATGAAGGTGCCGTCAATGTTTTAGCCTGCGTCTCTCGAACCCCGTTGCAACTGTCGGGAAGTTGACCTGCGTTGACGGTGTGATGCTCGGCCATCGGCGTATATAAAAGTGTGCGTGGCATTAGCGCCGGTGCTTACTGTTGTTAAGCATGTACTCGATATAAAACACCGTGCCGGCACGGAACGCCGCCGGCATCCAGCTCACGTTAGCAAACTCCTCTCCGGCCACCGACACAATCTGGGCTGCTGGTGGCAAGGCACACGCGAGCACGTATACAAAACTCAACAAGATACACACACACACACTCACTACAACGATATGCACATGTGTACACAGCACCAAAGAAAGGGATCAGCCGTTTTGAGTTAATGGTTGTAAATGGCATCCGCTCCCACCTGTAGTATTAATGCCAGCACGGTGCATGGGGACAGAGTATGGCAAGCACCGTGCCTGCTGACCTTTGTATCCCTGGTGCTGATTTTTTTATGCACCATACCAGGTAAAGACTTGAGACTGAGTCGACTTAAGAGGAAGTCCACAACAGGTTTGAATCGCTACTGAAGTTGTGCAATTGCCGACAATCCAATATAGGTCATTGGATAGTGGCGTCCATTCAGGCTGGAAAGGCATTCGTGGGAGTGGTGCGGCTAGAATCAGGCCTGTCTGCTTTTGCACACTACACCCGAGTAAGCATTGATATCAGAGTGTAAGGGGGTTAGTGCTGTCTGTGAGCAACGACTAATATATTACGACAAAGATCCCCAGGGTAGCCTTCAAAAGACCGTTGGGGAAAATGCTGTTAGCAAGCACCTATTAAGGCTAGCACGGCGTACGAATGGGTTGGTGGTCAAGACCACACCTGGCTGCCTCTGTCTCTCCAGTGCTGCTGTTTAGACACTGCACCAGGGAGTCATTTAAGGCTGAGCTGACCCTGGGGGAGGCTTAGGAGTAAGACAATCGTCACCGATGTTGGCCGTGAATGGGTATCGAACTCGGGTCGCCGGGTTCATAGTGCAGCATGCTGACCGCCACACTGCCACTCCGCACTAAAACTATGCACGCACACGCACACTGACACGCATAGAGACGCACACACAAATGTGCTGTGTGAGCACTTACTAATTAACTTCTACTGAGTAGGTAGTAACGGTTGTGCTGCACGGCCCTGCGGCATTTTTTTGGGATTGTACCACGTGTTGTTGAGTACGATGCCTGATGCTTCCAGGAAGTGGAGCGAAGCATCAGATGCAATAACGAACAGCACGCGGTGTGACCCATACACATCGGAGAGTGACACCTATTAATCTGTTGATACACAAACAGATAGATCGGCACATACAAGTGCCCACAAATATATCCGTCCGGGTGCATCAACATCCTAAAGCCAAAGGCAAAATCAATGCAGAGATCGATTGGAGGAAAATGATCCGCGAGTTGGTGGCTGAGTAGCCTGGTGTTTAGCACAGTCATCACTTATCCACTTTGCATGGAGTCAATTGTTGAGTTCCTACAGATGCCCGGTAATTCCTGTACCCCATTAACTGCCAATTTGACATTCAAGGCACTGAGAGGTCACCATTTTGCGAGAGTTGGCCACTACTTGTGTTTCACTTTCACAGCACACAGGTCGATTTGCATGCTCCAATGCTCTGTCTCTGTGTGATCCCCTAACCCTACTGCTAAGTCACCAGTGTAGGTATGCGCGCCACTTTACCTGGCCACCACCATCGATTGAGCTGCACAACCAACAAATCAGTGGTTGAAATTCCACATTCCTATGACGAGAGCCACAGATTCCACATGTGAAGTTATCTGCATGCATAAGCCATGTGGTGGAGCTTGTAAGACTCTGTAGAGAAAGTGCATTTCTGGCACGCCACGAATGGGAGCAAATTGGCCCATAGGATGACCACTTTTGACCTCTCACAGAGCGGTACCCATTTTTTTTTCACCCCAAAGGGATGATAGGGTTGAGTCGTCCCCCAATTGGGATTTAGCTTGCGACGTTCTAATTGTGAGCCAAGTGCTCCAAACACAGCGAGACCAGACAGGGCATTGAATATTTCATGCACAGCGCGACGGGACTTTCATCCGAAGAGATTCTTTACGCAAGGCTTCTACTGCAAGGCTGGCAAGACAAGAACGGGCAATATGAAGCCACCCTGTGGCAGGTGAAGGCAATCAGGGAATGCTTCATGGAGATAATGATAAGTTATAGACCTTAACTTGGCTGTGATGAAAGAGCTGTTGGGAGTGTTACACTATAGCTCGAACCATCGTGGTTGGGGTATGCAAAACACGTGCATCATGTGCAGGCACTTCATACACATGGGCATCGGGCACGTATACACAATGCACAGTACACACAACACGCAGCTTCATGCGTAGGTAAGGCAAAGGTTAACTTTAAAGATTAACATGGCAATTTATGTTAGCGATTACCGGTTAAGAATGGGATGGAAATTTAAAGCATGGTGAGGCAAAGCATTAGTTATACCCGGCCACATTTATCTCTGTAATATTTATTTTAATGATCACACTACACCAGGGGCAGAGCAACAGGACATGCTCAGATACAAAATCGCCACTGTTGCTGCTAGGAATGCAGTGCAGTGTGGTAAACACGATACCACCCCTTCCTCAATTATATTCATGAACAGACACACAAACACACAAGATTAAGAGGTCATCACTGTCCATGCTGATAATACCAACAAACCTCACTATCACTCCCTTCCTTCAGCTGGGTCTCACAGCTGTTGCAAGGTCACCCGATCTCCAAGGACTGTTGTCCACAGCTTTCCCACTATCTGGCTCTATAGGTCCTGCCCCTTGGTCATCGATCTCTGGAATCCACTCCAGTGCCTCTCTTGGTAACCCATCCTCCATCCAGCACATGCGCCCCACCGATTACAACATTTTTTTTCCTAACTCCATCTGCAATGCGACACGGTGGAGAGATATTAACTACCTCGCCTGGTATACAGGAGGTCGTGGGTTCAATACCGACCCTGACGCCTGTCTGTATATTTTGAGTTTGCGTGTCTCTCTCTCTATACAGATGGAGTTTTCACGTCTCTCTCTCTCTCTCCGTGGTCGCGTCGATTTTTCTCCGGGTTCTCTGGTGTTTTGCTCCACATTTATAAACACCCATTAAGATGACTTGGCTGCTATAAATTTCCACATGATAAGCCACTTTGTTGAGCTATCATTTGTGGCCAGGTCACTTCTGAAAAAGAGTTCTATAGCTCAGTGGGCATTACCTGGAAAAAAAACGGTTTAGTTTTAGTTTATTGCTTTCCTCTGCAATGCCAACCACTTTGGTAAATGTAAATACCACTGGGAAAAAAAAACGTCGAAACAGCGTTGCATTTTCTTTGTTCAAACATTGCACGCACCGGTCCTGGGCTTTTCATTTCGAACACAATCAGCTGGGCCGATCTCCGGAGGGAAAACCTCAACGTGGAACAATAATGTCAGACCCAGCGATGCGTGGCAATGTTTCCAGAAAATGTCATTACAAAGTTATTAGGAGTTTTGGAACGAAATCAATATGGGCATAACCGGGCTTAGGTTTACTTCTTTGAAAAAAAACACAAGAAGCACGGTTTGCTACACAATTTACTGTGGACCAGTTTAATCAATATTGATAAATTATGATGTAATATCCTGACACATAGACCCAGTGGTAACACATAGTTTAATGGAGGCAAATCAACTGTTTTTATCCTAGTCTGTATGTGGATTGGACTAAATTGGGTTGTTCTCCCAGAGGGGTACCCATCATTGACTGATCTTTTGACCTTTTGTTCGTATGTTGCGCTGACAAGAGAGTCCTGTGTGTGTGTTATGTTCCACACTCAAGAGAGCACTAGACAGTGATCCTCTCCCATGGATGCTCTGAGCCAGTGGTAGAAATTCCACATTCCTCTGACAGGGCTAGCTTCTCCATAGGACAACCACTGGTGACTTCCCATAAAGTGGAATTTATTTTATTATACCCAGAGGACGATTGGTTGAGTCAACTCCATAAAGGGATTTGAACTTGTGACCTTGTGGATTGTTAGTCAAGCAAGCTAATTACAGTGCCACCAAGCCAAATTTATTCTCAGGATCTCAAATATGCCGGCTCAATGCTCTATTAAAAAAATATATTCACTATTTTTTATTTTACCAGGTAAGGCCCACTGTGCTATCTAGCTCTTTTTCATAAGCGACTGGCCACAAATGATAGATAAACGAAGAGGCTTTCACATTAGTACACCCCAAGCTGCCACTGCTATTCATTGGCATAAAATAAAATAAAATGTTTCGCTCCGGATGACGCTGCAAAGAATTATCTGTATTTTGATTTAGCGTGCCGATCTTAAAGGTGCATTGAAAAATTTGATACTCCGACCGATGCTTCTGTTGTGGAGTAACTCATGCAGTCAGCTATGGCTCTAGGGTTTGGTGTTACATGTTATTTATGTAGTTTGTTGTAAAAATTCGGTCACAATCCTTGTGATCACTGTTACGTTGCAATTATGGCTTTATTTTTTGGTGATTTGGAAAAGTTTTAAGGTTTGGACATGTTTGTTTTGTTGTAGTACGGAGTTAGACTGATGGCCTTAATCTAAGTTTTTGTGGTTGTTGTTGTTGTTTGACTTGCATCCCACTGGGATTTTTTGCACACAGCGTTGGTGTACGGTGCTTTTTTCAGGAATATTTTTGCTGTTTTTTTCCATGGATTTTCTGTTTGCACAGTCACACATAGTCACTTTAAGATGTTTTTCTTGTTCGTGTTTTTGTTTTTTGTTTGTTGTGGCTGCACGTGATTCCAGAGCCGAATGGCTCACAGGGCTATACCAAAATAAACTGAAATAAAAACTGAAAAAAAAAAAAAAAAAAAAAAAAAAACCTGAAAATAATTAAATAAACATGGACATTTATAACAGCCAAATACTATAAACGCATGTTTATTCTAAATGTAGAGGAAAAACCGGAAGACCCGGAGAAAAATCCACACAACCAAAGGGGAGAACATGCAAACTACAAATATACAGGCATCAAGGTTGGGATCGGACCTATGACCTCCTGTATACCAGGCAAGGTAGTTAACATCTCACCACCGTGGAGCCCTGACACAGGTATCAGCATTGGCCACCTTTGAAAGAACCAGCCACAGCTGAGAGCAAAAGTACATTTGACAAAAAACAGTTACAACATACACTGTCAAATAATTGAGAAAAAAAATGTGGGGTAGCTCAACCACTGTGATAACCAAGTCACCTTGTGCTGCACTACAAACACCAGCTGCTAGACAGACAGTTTTTAGAGCAAAGGCATATTACAGGGCAGAAGTTAAACAATCCTGAAATTTTTTCCTGAATTTCCAAAAAGGCTTCCAGCCTGTGCAAAGCAGGTGTCGGTGGATGGGTCATTAGGTAGTGAGGAGAGGTTGTAAAGTGATACGCTGTAGAAACACAAGTAGGGGCTGACCTTCTCACGCCATGTCATTACGTGCCGTAAGGATATATCCTACAGTGTGGAGTTTAAGTCTGACGAAACGAATGTAGATTTTTGAAATGTGTGTACCACTTTAAACGGATGTGTCTGTGCAAATGATGTATTGCTATGAAAAGTATATACGCCTGCTTAAGCACGTGGGGTGGCCCACTCATCTTTCTTAATGGCCCTGAACAAGTTGGTGGAGATGTTGAATTCCCATGGCAGGGTCAAACTTCTCGACGCAAAACTATCGTTGATTCCCCCATAAAAGCGGTACTTATTTTACCAATCCAATAAGAATGACGGGCAGTTGACTGCTGACAGTGAGTTGCAAACTCTAACCACACAGCCACCAAGCTAGGTATGTTTATATAAGGTGAAGGTGCGGCGCTGAAATCGCTTGCTCACTCCAGTGCAGATGTGTCTCCGCTACAGGGAGCTCGACAGAGCCCCGCCAGAGGGTATTTGGCCTACTCTGTCACACTGGTCAGATGTCTTGGAAGAGCTGGGGGGTACCCACACTTTACCCCACCACACTCGACCTTGCCCATCGAAGAGCTGCGGTACACCCATTTATCCTGCAGGGTGGACAGAGTGGGATTCAGGATATGTGCCCCATCGATCCACTTCCACGCGGGGATATTGAAACAAAGTCGTGACCAGTCCAATGTGTGAACCATCACAACATGGCAGTATCCACCATGTACGTAATCCTATGTATTGCAAAGGCATGCTATCGCATAATATTAATGCTTCTATTCTTAATGAAAATGCAAACTTCATGCTTAAGTCAGGAGTCAAGTGCACGAACACCCACATTTTCGACACGTGTGCATTTTTTTTCACACGTGCACACGCAGACACGCACACACACACTTTTGATTATGTCCTCATGCTGGATTCCATCGGATATCTCATAAGTCAGCGAATATGACACTTGTGTGACCATTTCAAATCTTGTCTCCAATGTTGCAGCCAAGCGGAGGTTGGCACGGAGTTGTTTCTTTGGAATTTCCTCATGGCGCGTTCCTTGCGCTTCCTAAATAATTTTCTTCTCCTGACCCATCTCAGTGCTGAACCCATTTTGTATTGTACAGTCACGCAAGATACACACGCTGGGAGACTATGGCAGGGCTGTCTCGTGTGATACTTTTAAGTAGGCATCCGACAGAATGCTTCCGTGCAGTCGATGGCTCAGAAACAGCATGAATATTACATACCCACCCCTCTAACTTTACAGTGCTAAAACTTTTTACTTTATTTTTTATTGTCGGCCGGTGGTTTCATTTGCTCTCTGGACCGCATGCCATTGTAAACCAAAATGATTTGTGTGTGAATCGCTAACTCTTGCTGTCGCTTTTTACAATCTCATCACGGGCTATATTTATTTATTTACGAGCTATTTTCTTGGTGCAATACTACGTGCATGCTAATTCACTCGGTTGGGTTTGTGGTCGAGCCAGTTGCTTATGCAGGACAGTGGTTGACATCTCACAATGGTAGCGAGATGTTAACTACCTCACCTGGTATACACGAGGTCGTGGGTTCGATCCCGAACCTGATGCCTGTATACTTTGAGTGTGCATCTTCTCCCTGTGGTCGCGTGGATTTTTCTCTGGGTCCTCTGATTTTTCACTCCACATTTTGGAATATGTGTTTAGAGTATTTGCTTAGTTGAATAAAGGCGATTTTGTAAATCTATAGGGTTGGTCAAAACGTATGGGTTCTATTTCTGAACATGATTTTTTTTCTAAATATATATTTATCAAATAAATGCATATCGAATACAGTGAATAACTTTAAAAGCACGTGACAGACTGCTCCCATTTCTTCTAAGATGTCTGGCCAACATGGAAGAGTAGGCCAAAAAATACTCCCTGGAGGGGCTCTCTAAGAGTTCTGTCCAGTGGAGGCTTCTCCACTGGCAGTGGCTTGAGCAAGACAACGTAGGACTGCACCTATGCTTTTTACTATTAAACAAGACATCAATAACAGCACATGATGGCATGAGTGGCCATTAAGGAAAAATTCATCCATTTTGAAAAACAGAAAATGTATGCAACTCATTTGAATGGAAAAACAGGGCAACCTTGACTCAAGCAGGCCGAGTAATTTTTCCTCATTCTTAATGGAAAAACTCCGTAAGTGTGGGTGTACTGTATATTTATTTCTGTCTTTGTGGAGAGTGGTGGCACAGTGGTTAACACACTCCAGCAACTAGAGTTTGATTCCCGCTCAAGACAAGTAACAGTGGCAAATATATGAACCGGTTCTAGAAATCCCCGAGGTCGATTCAGCTTTAAAAAAAAAATAGTAGCTAAATGTGGTGTGTAAACATCAGCACCGGGGGAGACAAAGGCGGCCGGGTATGGTGCTGGCCACACACGCCGTCATGCGTCGTGGCGGCTTTAATCGGCGTACGCTAACCCCACTTGCTCCAGCATCCTACATTTTGCCTTTGTGCAAGTGTCCGTTTGTATATGGGGAGCGGTAGTGCATCGGTTAGCACACCGCGCCACGAACCCAGCAACCCGCATTCGATTCCCGCTCACGGCCACCAACACCGGTGGCAATTATCTGAACCGGTCCTGGGCCTCCCCTAGGTCGACTCAAGACTCAAATGAGTACCTGTCGCGGCGTGTAAACATCGCCACTGGGGAGACAAAGGCGGTCGGGCGTGGTGCTGGCTACGCACCCCCTCGTGAGCCGTGCCGGCTTTCATAGGTGCTCGCTAACAGCGCTTGCCCCAACAGTCTGTTAAGGCTATTATGGGGGAGCCTTGTCTTTGTGTCTGCGTGTGTGTGTGCCGGTTGGTTCGGGGGGTTTGCGTACCGCGTTCCATGACGGTGGTTGCCTCCTCGAAGGCGGCGGCGCCCAGACCCGCGCGTGTACGTGCCCGCACGTACACCTTGTAGCGGCCGTTGGGAGGGAGGTCTCGCAGAGTCCAACTGGAGGCGTTCGCCGTGGGGATGTCGACGCTCTTCAGGGGGCCCAGCTCATACGTGTGGTTGACTTAAGGGAGGCAAACGCACGGACGGACGGACGGACGCACGCACGCACAGAGAGACGGACATCAGGACGTACAAAGAGTCGGATTGTGCTATGTTACGTTGCAGGCGCAGTTTCGTCAATTGGCCGGTCGTGACCGGTGGGGTCGAGTGTGGGTTTCCTCTGCCTCTTACAAGATATCTGGCCAGCATGGGAGAGTAGATCAGATGCCCTCTAGAGATGTTCTCCAGAGCTTTCTCATGTCAGGGTCCTTCTGCCAGCAGTGGCATGAGCACGTGTTTTCAGGGCTGCACCGTTACTTTTCACATCGCATCGCCGGACAGTGAGAGATGGAGATAGCTTAGGAAGGCCTTCATCCACCAATGGATCGATCGTGTTTGATTATTCGGTTTTTTGTACATGGGATGGGGTACAGGCAAAATGATACACATTTAAAACATAAATATCCTGAGCTTTATTGACCATCATATTTCAAAGGTGAAAATATCTATAAAACAAGTACAAATCTGTAAGCAGTCAACTGTGGATGTTTTATGGAAAGACCGGCCGTTTCCATAAAAACGTATAATTACCACCATTTGTGCTGAGCCGTCAATGGGATTGAGTATCAGTGAATGCTCATCCGAGTAGGAAGACACATTGACTTTATATATTTTTCACATTTCCCTAATCCTCCAGTGTGTAATAAAGAACATCAAATTTAACGTGACAAGAATGTCAAATTAAAACCAAACAGAACAATTAACACAAGTATACACAGATATATATCTGACGAACAAAGACATTTGCTCCTGGAAAAAAAAACCCCTCGCTTCTTCGACTAACAAGATGGTTCCCAAGGCCTTTGAACGAGACATTCATCACTTATCGTGGCTGAGAGCCATTCCATTCAGTGCTCATTGGCTCTCACGTCACGTCAATCAACCCTCCCTCGCTCCAGCCGGCCGTGCATTGGACCCCTTAGATTCGGCGGTGGGGTGCAATTGTTGTTTTGTTTTGCGTGCAGAACACGCAGACTTGAGAGTGCGGACTTTGACAGCGGAGCTCATAAATCATTCTGCCCCCCCCCCCCGCCCCCCCCCGCCCCCTGCAAGGTGTCACTATTTCTCGGCAAAAAGGTGGCAGACTTTTGGCGTTGCACGTGGCCGCATAATGTCGTGTGTGTCTGGTTTGGACAGCCGTCCGTCACGAAGAGCTCCTCCGGTCACGATGGATCACTTGGCTTCAATCTTCGCCGCTTGAACGCTATATTCACCGAGCGCTCATTTGAACATGTTCTACACCATTATGGTACGCAATTGTTCGCGTGTGTGTGTGTGCATAACGCTGTGGGTAGCCGTGATGTCGTGGTTTGCACGCTGCGCTACGAACCTGAGTTTCATCCCCGCACATGGCCAACATGGTGCTGGTAACCCACTCCATGCCAGCTCGCTAACAGCACTTAACTTAACAGTCTGTTAGAGGCTATATGAGCCACCTTTGTTTGTCTTTGTGTGCGTATGCGAGTTTAGACGTGCGCCTGCAAACGTGTGCACGCATGCAGGTACACGTGTGGACAGACGTTCAAATATTTACACTCAACAACAAAACTACCATTAGCCATTAAGTGGTGGTGACATCACCACAGCGCTTGTGCCAGGCAAGGTGCAATTGAAGCCACGTGAAGTGTGAGAGGCCCGCTGGCAGGAGGTTTACGGAACAGACCCAGGTGCCATGGGTTAATCTGATCAAATCACGCCGAATGCATCCGGTCTCATCTCACAAGCTAACAGGGCTGATCTTGGATTGTTCTTGTGTGGGCGACCTCAATGCAACAACAGTTGCGCTGCTCATCCTTCATTTGAAAAGTGTGTAAAGTTCAAATCGTGGTCGTGGATTGTCTCAACCCATCATCCTTCTGGGGGGTTCGATAAAACTAGTTGTAAAAATAAACTTTTCCCTGTCATAAGAATGTGGAATTTACATCCCTGGCTCAGGGCTACATATGGATACGAGCTCTGGTTGATGCTATATTGAGGTTAGACATGTTACGAGCGTAGAGCATAAGTATATACTTAGGCACACGTATCGCTGTCTAACCATACGGAACAGCGCTGCAATTACAAGTTTGTTATGCAATAATTCTATTTCAAGGTGACCTGCAGGCAAGAATTATATTTCAAGGTGACTGCAGTTCAATGCCGAGTTTTATCTTTGAGCATCTCACGGCGCTCATCCTATCCATTCAGATCAACACCACGTTCTGATGTCTGCTGCTCTGTATTCCTAACCAGTGCAACCTTGACGAAGCCCTGCCTGTCGTTATTCAGACGGGACCCCACGGAGCTAAGTCGGTGTTTCTGATTAAATAAGTGAGACCTTACATCTGCCCGTTTTTGTCTGCCGGCAGGGCGGTCTTTCTGAATAGGTTGCCCATGCAAATGTCTGTCCGATTTGCTCAGTGAACAGCTTATAAGTATTAGTTATCGATCTTTCTGTGATTTTACATCACTATATGTGCAGTTGTTTACGTAAAAATGTTTCTCTTTATCTATCTGTAAAAATGTATAGTGCTAGCTCTCTGTGTCTGGCTCAATATGAGTTGTGTTTGTTCGAGACATGCTTATTTGTTTGCATGCGTTCACATTATCAACTCAACATCTATTTACACGTCTATTACTGGTAGGAACCTCCTGGTTCCACCAGCCCACAGGGGATTATTGTGTCCGTCCGTCCGTCGTGCATCCAAAAATGGGAGGGGTGGGGCTGGGTGGGGAGGGGAGGGTGGGGAGGGGCTGGGTGGGGAGGGTGGGGCTGGGTGGGGAGGGGAGGGTGGGGAGAGGCTGGGTGGGGAGGGTGGAGCTGGGTGGGGAGGGGAGGGAGGGTGGGGAGGGGTTGGGGAGGGAGGGTGGGGAGGGGGAGGGTGGGGAGGGGCTGGGTGTGGAGGGTGGAAAGAGGAGGGTGGGGAGGGGCTGGGTGGGGAGGGTGGGGAGGGGCTGGGTGGGGAGGGTGGGGTGGGAGGGGTGGGGGGTGGGAGGGGTGGGGCTGGGTGGGGAGGGGCTGGTCACCCCGTGGTACCCTTATAAAACTCAACGTTTAACCTACTCACGCCGGCTTGTGCCCGCCCTCACAGTCGGGCATTGTTGCGGAATACACCACGTGGGGCCGCCGTTGACCCTGGCCATTGACCGAGCAACCCAACGTTCCTACCAGCTCCCTCCGCAGGAATGTGTTTATAATCAGGAATAGCTGTATGTCGATCTACAAATATGTCTGCAAGTTTGCATGACAGTTTAATAGTCACTTCTTCTTTAAAAATATAAAACACAAGAAAATATTACCATCCGCTCATGTTAACTCTTGTTATCGATTGCAACTTTGATGGTGCTGTTTGTTAGTGACTGCTTAACGTGTTGGAGCATTGGGCCTGTGCTCAGCAACCGTGCTCACAACACCAATGTATGACGATTGAGACATCGTCACAAATGCACTTACAAATATGTTTCTTAGTTACAAAGAAGAGATTGTAATGATATTAATATTTTTTTTCTTTTACCAGATAAGGCCCACTGACCTATATCGCTATTGTTCCAGATGCAACCTGGCTATCACAAATGAACGCTCAACGAAGTGGCTTTATCACGTGGACATTTACAGCAGCCAAATATTCTCAGTGCATGTTTCTAAATGTGGAGGGGGAAAACCTGAGAAAAAATCCACGGGGAGAGAGATACGCAAACTCCAAATATACAGAACACGTTCCCCATTCTTGTCGTGTGAGCATTGTTAATGCGACGCTCATAGCATAGCTCAGCCCGAGTCAGGTCAACCAGTGAAACTCTGACACGAGAATGCACTTTCTTCACTCGTAAATGTCGACAGACAAGCTGAATGAAGGTCAGACATTTCCAACAGTTGTATGCCAAGGAATTCTCCAAGCAGGATCCACATTGTACATATTTCACATTTGATAGCAAAGTTTACTGGAATGCCATGGCTTTCGTTTGAATGAACAATCACTATTATCAAGCATGAATAAAAGTATTTGATATATTCAAGAAATCTTCACTGAGTCTCAATACAATGTTTTTAGAGGGTCCTGCTGAGGATGTTTCATCAATTAATTTGTATTTGTGCATGCAGAAGTAAAGCAAATTGCCTCGAGAAATCCCACACCATATGAGCCATGAAAACAACATCTATAAAAATATGTTAGCAACCTTCCTGCTGTGCTACGGTACTTTAAACTACTAGACACCTCATAGTCCTGCAGAAGGCTCACGCACTTTGATGCTTTCTGCATAATCTACGAGTCTTGCTTACAAAGTTCTGGGATTGAGCAAGTAGTCTGTTTCCCTTCCACTGCACCTCCGATTAGCATGGTTGGCTATGTACGGTGTGAAAGAAGTTCAACGTACATACATACAAGCAACATTATCTCTCCTCTTTATACGTACAGATACCATCATCATCTCTATAATAATTATACCCCACCTCCTATGCAGTACATCTAGAGGCACCCTGCAGCATGGACAGCTTGGTGGCAGCTGTCTCTGTGAGGCAAGAGGGCATTAGTCTGCCAGTAGGGGACGATTTTCATATGTAGCTTCCAAATTTATTAATTTGCAAATAAACAGACAATGGAGGCGCAAAGGCATGTGGATGCTTTATAAAGAAATCTGTTCTTTTCCCCCCACATAATTTAATTTGAAATACATCACAGCTTGCACAACTAACACACGAGTGCTATTCACGAACGTCCATTAAACGATGAAGAAAACACGCCCACTGTGAATGTGGCTGTATAGATGTTAGCTCACTGGAATAGAAATCGGAAACCTGGGTGACATGGCCGCGTGGTAGCAGAGGCTTTCCCTGCGGGTATATTAACCGTTAAAGTATGCGGCGTCTGCTTCACAGCGGACCTTTAAGATCCCATGACGTATTTCGCAAGAGCGAGCAATTGTGTTGTGGCCTTCATGGTTCAAATTCGAAAAAAAAAATTACCCACAAATAACTCACCT